TTGCACTTGGTGATGTAAGGCTTGGATGCAGCCACTTGGCCATGGAAACCCATTCCATGACGCTCTCTATGCACTGTTGTTGTACTAATTTGAAGGCCACACAAAGTTTGGAGGTCTTTAGCTATTGACTCTGCAGACAGTTGGTGTCTTCTGCGCACTGTGCACTTCAGCATGCGCTGACCCACTTTGTCATTTTACATGGCCTACCATTTTGTGGCTGAGTTGCTGTTGTTCCCAGTTGCTTCCACTTCATTATAATACCACTAACAGTTGACCGTGGAATATTTAGTAGCAAAGAAATTTCATGGATGGACTTATTGAACAGTTGCCAACCTATCATGGTACCACTCTTGAATTCACTGAGCTCCTAAGAGTGACCCATTCTTTCACAAATGTTTGTAGAAGCAGTCTGCATGCCTAGGTGCTTGATTTTATACACCTGTGGCCATGGAGGGTGATTGGAACACCTGAATCCAATGCTTTGGAGGGGTGTCCCAATACTTTTGGCAATATAGTTTATGTACTGCTTTCATTGGTATAAAGTCTTTTGGAACTTGGAGCCTGGTGTAGATAGTCTTGTTATAATTCAAAAAGTGCAACACTAATCTATAAACAACGGATCTGTTTTGAGGTTAATCCCGAAAGCACTGTTGGCCTTTTCATTAATTTGAAAGCCAAATAGTTCCAGTAAGCATCCTAATTCACTTTCATCACCAAATCTCTGCGGTGTTTTCCCTCCAGTCTTATTGGATTATTGGGTGCCTTTTTTCTTTCGATTTCTGGAAGCACTGCTTGCACTTTTTGTGGATTCTTTGCAATAACGGATCAGGATTTTTTGTCTATGTTGAACTTTTATTTTACGATCACTGTCTTTAATTTTCTATAAATCACTGTTTATAGATTAGCTCTGCACTTTTTGAATTATATCTTGGAAGGTTTGTTGTATCTCTTAACCTGTGCCAGCAGCTTTATTCATTTGTTATATAAATATTTTCTCAATTTTAGCGCAGAAATACATGTCTATTTTAGTTAGTCTTGATGCCAAAAAAAATTTGAAAAAAGTGTTTCCCTAACCTGCATCTAATCTTTAGGCTGACTTTAACAATTAACGCTGCCTGCAATCAGAATGCCAAATCTTAGACCCCGTTCACACTAGGGCGTTTTGAATCATGGCGATTCTGCCTACGATTTCAAAACACTCTGTTAAAATGACAAATCCCTGAACTGTGTGTTCAGATGTCATTCATTTTAAATGCGGTAAACCGCAAGTCACTTGAAAGAAATTCCTGAACTTCTTTCAGGTGACACGCATTGTGCGATACAGTTTACCACGACTGCAGCGAGATTTATCACGTGACAATCGCAGGAGAAGCAGACCATGTTTTCAGGTGCCATTAAAATGAATATCACCCAAACACGCAGTTCTGCATTTTGTCATTTTTTAACAGAGCGTTTTGAATTTAAAATGCCCTAGTGTGAATGGGGCATCAACCTATCCCTGAAGTGCAACCCCTAACAATTAACCTAAATTTCCAACTAACTGTTAGCTTTAGCCCAACATGAACATACCCTTTAAACCATTACCACCCAACCTCCTCCAACACTAAAACATAACTCCTAATCAAAGGATAACACCTACTAATCTTAAAACTGCACTCCAGGCAGATATAAAGAAACACCAAATGATGCAATTACGTATTTATTTTTTAAAAAATCACATTTTTAAAAGCAACCAGCATAAGTACTTACATTTGTCTTCATATTAGCCTTTTAAAGTAAATTGCAAATTAATGAATATGTGCAGTGGTACGCTTACTACTTTTCAATGTAGCACTACAGACATGTTATCCATAGCAATCAATAACTAACTTGAGTCTTCTGTGTAAAGTTGTACAGGTTTTGATAGCCCTGTCGGTAGCAGTGTTGGTTATCTTCACAATCTCTTCTGTTCTGAGAGTTGGCAAGTCTTCAGATGATCTTTCCCCTGGTGATACCTTAGTGAAACATTTCCTGCAAGCTACAAGAAGCCAAATATATCCCCTTCAAGCTCTGGCAGCTTTTATCTTGATCAATAGCTACCTGCTACTGCAGATCAGCCGGGTTACATATGACTCCTCAGGCGAAGCATCAGACAATGGTAAGACCTCACGTGTTATACCACAGCTGACTAATTATAAAGGCAAAGTGCACTTTTGAAGTAAATGCCTCCAAAAGACTTCAGTTGTTCACATTTTTAATAAAAAGTAAATACTACAGATATCATTACCAGAAGGGTTGAGTATCTGGCTGCTCGTCCCTGAATGGATACATGGAAGAAAAACCCCCCTTATGGGACTTTAGTGCAGCAAAATGGGACATTACACATATACACCCAAGAAAACTTTTTTTAAAAAAAGAATATAAACTTTACATAGACATGCTTGTATAAAATGCATACAGATATCAGATGCAACCTTGTATATACTTACCACCACTTCCCCACCACACTGTTCAGCTCCATTAACCACTTCCCATCCGGCCCATGTACATAAATGGCCAGACGGGAGCAGTGCAGGAGCGGGTGAGTGTTTTGTAAATGGCGCCCGCATTCACATCCGGTGCCCACTGTGTCCTCCGAACACCGATCACTGTACGGGACCTCTGTGTGAGGTCCCAATTTATGGGATCACTGATTGGCAAATCAGTGATCACATTAATAGCAGTAAGCAAAATGTCAGGAAGTGACATCATTGCTTACTACTAGTGAAATCTATGAATGATCATAGAGGTCACATGGTACAAGGCTATTCACAACAGCCTTGTACCATGTGACAAGCTGTGACCAATCACAGCTCTCACAGTATTTCTCAATGAGAGAAATAAAAAATAAAAAAGAGAGTAGGAGAAATGATTGCTTCTACAGCCTTTATGGTTGTAAAAGCAATCAGTGTAAAAAAGAAAAAAAAATCTTCATCACCCCCCACAAGTAGTACAGTGTCACTATGGTGACACTGTACTGCTAGGGTGACAGTATGTTGAAAAAAACCCCATAAATAATAATATAAAAAATAAAATAAAAATGTAAAACAAAATTTTGAAAAATAATAATTTTTGGTTATAAACTAATTTGTGCAAAATTTTATAAGAAAAACTTTTTCAAAATTTTTGGACTTTTTCATTTATATAGCAAAAAAAATAAAAACCCCAGTGGTGAATAAATACAACCAAAATAAAGTTTTATTTGTCTCAAAAAATGCTAAAAAAAAATTCATATGGGTACAGTGTTGCATGACCACGCAATTGTCATTCAAAGTGTGATAGCCCTGAAAGCTGAAAATTGGCCTGAAAGGGGGTGAAAGTGTCCGGACTTGAAGTGGTTAAAATAAAACTGTTGCTTTGCCATGTGAGGGTGAAGCACAAATCACTTTAAGAAGTGGAAAAAAGGAACATTGGGTGTGTTGACCAAAGTTAGAAGTTAGCCTTCATGTTCTACCTTGTAAAAATTGAAAATAAGAAAGGGAAAGTCAATCGCAGTTGATTTCAATAATAATAATCTAAAGATGTAGTCAGGAAGTGAAAAATAAAGTATGCACATAGAAGCATGTAAGTTTTTGTGTCATGCTATTCATTTATCTAAGGGTCAACATACTCTTTGTAAAAAAAATGCACAGGTAATGAGGAAACTTGTAATAATGTATGCTAATGAAATTATTAAATACTAAAGTGGTTGTAAACCTCAGCCCATATTTCTGTAGTGTTTACTTGCCTCTCTACAGAGCACTAAGAGCCATTTTTCTCTGCTGTCTACTTCCTCCGTTATTAGCATGCATTACTGATAACAAGTTTTCCTGACACCAAGAGAAAAAAGGTAACAGGGGAGGGATCTCCAGCAAAAAGTATTTGATTGACAGCCTCAGCTCTGTTCTTGTGTGCTGTGTGAAGGGGGATGTGTCCCTTCCCTCCAATCAGCTCTCAGAGCTCTTGTACAGTGTGTAACTACAGCTCCCCACCCCCTTCTTTGTGAGTCTGTGAAAAATCCTTTTTATCTCTGAGTTTTATAAGGATGTACAGAACAAATGGCTGTAAATGAACAGGTACAATTTATGTAGGAGGATTTTCCTCACCTCGGTGCATCACTTCACTGGGTATAGATAAGGGTTTACAACCGCTTTAAACCTTTATGTTTTCATTATATTTCTTACTTTAGAACCAGTGACATCATCAATTGATTTTTGTGTTTCTCTATGCAACGCGGGCGGATCATAGTTGATGAAAGGGAATGGCAGGGTGCTGTACATAGCTTTTTGAAAACAGAAAGCTGTGGCAATGTCCACATGTGAAGCTGACTCTCCATGACTGTAAGAACTGAAATCCAATGAATAAAAACAGGGGCAGGGACAATAAGATGGGGGAGGAAAGGGCTACATGATGCTGGTTGTCCTTTAACCAGGAAATGAGGCAGGCTCTGTATGAACTACTGCAGCTTCTAATTCACACTGTGAGAAACTTACAGTGTGCAGTAATATTGGAGTAAGCAATTTCAGTACAGGTGTAGAGCCTGTATAACTGTGAAAGGTAAAGCTGGAGGTCGTATTAATGTTTATAGGTTTTTAGGCAGATGTTTTAAATATATTGGGCTTGTCCTCCTTGACTAACATCAAATGTCACATGCCGTGCTGTTCACTGCTGCTCTTCTTTTAATATTTTAATTTTTTTTAAATAAATCATCATGACAAAGGATTCCCAGAGCATGGTGAGAGCACAGCAGCAGTTTTCTCAGTGAAAGCTTCCAAAAAGAGTTGTATACAAAATACATTTTGTTGTAAACAAAATGCTTTTAACCGCCTTCCGGCCGCCATATAGTACAATGATGGGTGCAAGGTGGTTCTCTTGTTCTGGGAAGACGTCATATGACGTCTTCCCATTCTAACTGCGCATGCACGGCTCCAGGAGAGTGCAGCGTGGCGATCAGCGGTGCGCTGTGTCCCTCGGACACAGCGGATCACCGATCAATGGAAAAAGTCGAAGATGTCGGCTCGGTCATGTGATCAGCTGTGTCCAATCACAGCTGATTGCATGTAAATAAGGAAATGCCGGTTATCAACATTTCTCTCCTCAAAAGCTGTCATGCTGACAGCTCTAGAGGAGAGGAGAGCTGGTAATCGACATTCCTCAGAGGGGACATGTGCACTGATCATCAGGGCACTGATGATCAGTGTGCCCTGATGATCTGTGTAGCTCCAGCAGTGCCACGTGTCAGTGTCCATCAGTGCCAGCTGTCAGTGCTCATCCATGCCATGCCAGTGCCACAGTCAATGCCACATATCAGTGTCTACCAGTGCACATCAATGCCACATATCAGTGCCCATCTGAGCTGCCTTTCAGTGTCACTCATCAGTGCCAGTCAGTGCCACCTATCAATGCCAATCAGTGCCACCTATCAGTGCTGCCAATCAGTGCCACCTATCATTGCCAGTCAGTGCCGCCTATCAGTGCCGGTCAGTGCCGCCTATCAGTGTGCATTAGTGCCGCCTATCAGTGCCCGTCAATGCTGCCTAACAGTGCCAGTCTGTGCCACCTAACAGTGCCAGTCAGTGCCGCCTATCAGTGCCAGTCAGTGCCGCCTATCAGTGCCATATATAAGTGCTGTCTTTCAGTGCCCATCAGTGATGCCTGTCAATGCTCATCAGTGCCACCTACCAGTGCCTCCTCATCAGTGCCCATCAGTGCCACCTATCAGTGTCCATCAGTGCAGCCTATCAGTGCCCATCACTGCAGCCTCATTAGCGCACATCAGTGAAGGAGAAAAATCACTTATTTACAAAATTTTATAACAAAAGCTAAGAAAAACTTTTTTTTTTTTAATTTTCAGTGGTTTTTGGTTTGTTTAAGAAAAAAATAAAAAACCCAGAGGTGATTAAATACCACCAAAATAAAGCTCTATCTGTCACAAAAAAATGATAAAAATGTCATATGGGTACAGTGTTGCATGACAGCGCAATTGTCATTCAAAGTGTGACAGTGCTGAAAGCTGGAAATTGGCCTGGGCAGGAAGGGGGTATAAGTGCCCTGTAGGCTAGTGGTTAAAGACAGCAGAAACTGGAATATATGTAAAAGGATATGACAATACAAATACCATATAAATAAACAATGAACAAAAAGAGACAGAAATAATGCACAGACCATTATATATTTCCTTTAATACCTGTGTCAATTGTTCTCCAGAAACAGTGGCTGAGGAAAAGAACATATTTGAAGGAAATGGTTCAGACACTGCACTACCACTACTGCCTCTACCAGCTGAGAAGCTACTGACGTACCTGGCGTTTTGTGGAAGTTTTGTCATTCCTATGATCATCTACGCAATACAAGAGTCAGAACTGTTATGGCAGAAAGAGAGACTTTGGGGATTCCTCTATTCTTTCATTTTACTGTTATCACCATTGAAGTACTTGTGTTCTTCTCTTACTTTTTATGTTATCAGTGTAACAGCCCAAAAGTCCCCACAGAACCTTTTATTTCAAGGTGTTTCTAAATGGCTTCCATCTTTGTATATCACATCAGTACTTTCTCTTTTCTTCTTTTCACTTGCCCTGAAAATCTACATAGAACTAAGCTTCATGAGCCCAGCATCAAGCTCTCCCGCAAGTAATTTAACTTTACGAAGAAAATGTATCGTAATCCCTCTCCGTTGGGGGTCATTTTAACATCAGTGCTTATTTTAGGCTGTGAAATCCCCTGTGTTTTGCACTTCATTATCTTTATTTCACATGGGAGTAGTGATCTCTTGATTGTGTGTTTACTAGCATTCAGCACTGTCTTCTGTTTAATGACGATCAGTGCATCACTGGTAGTAGGGTTGAAGAGGGATTGTCACACTACCAAATCTAGGATAAAGAAGAAACGGGTAGACAGTGGAGTCTGCCTGGCCAATTCCTTTGTTTACCAAGTCAGGTCAGAAGCAGGCAAAGCAGAATGTTAAATGGGAGAAATAATCCTCCTGAATTAGAAAATGAGATTTAAAAATACTGAACCTTTCTAGTAAAGCTTGGACTGTACCGATGAAGACATTAGGCATGACAGATGTTCTTACCGGTTTATAATATGCACAAAGACAATTGATAAACTTCAGTTTATAGGAGCACACTATTACACTACACACTGATTGATGGGCAGAGGTACCTTTAATTAGGTAGTCATAGGCAGTCCAGAGGGGGAAATAGTTGGGCCTACTTACCCTATAATGAGTATTTTTGCTTTTGTGTTACTTAAACTGGAAGACCCTTTTGTTTCTCAGCAATTCCATATGGGAACATCACTTTTTTTCACCTGAAATATTACATGGGTTTATGACACATGAGTATTTTAACTTAAAACAAGCCTGTGCTTTGTTCATTTGGGTCTAAGAAAAAGGATTGCTGCCATGCCAACTTTACTTTGCTCCCACAATGCTCCAGCTGCCAGAAGTGAAGAAAATACTAGGCATTTCCAGGTATTGAGGAGCATGTAGTTCAGTTGCCTTCTTCTTATGTGACCGTACTGATGTGATTGGCCCAGTACTGCCACTTGGGGTGAATAGACAGTTCTAAGAGACCAAAATGTCTCAGACCAGAGCATTTCCTTTTCTCACTGGTGATGTGGCAGTGAATGAAAGGTAAGCAGTGGTGTATTTAGGTTTTGTGCTGCCCTAGGCAACACAAAAATCGGGTGCCCCCTCCCCAACAGAGAGAGAGCCTGACACCCACCAACACCAGACCTCCCCCCAACCCCCCGGCCCTTGAGAGAGCCTGACAGTGATCAACAACACCCCTGCTCTATCCCCCCCCCCCAACCTGAGAGAGCCTTCCACTAACACACAACCCCCTCCCCCGGCGACAGAGAGGCACTAACATTCACAGCTCTGGACATCCTCGGGAACAACACCAAGCGGCCTGCAGCCTCTTTTGGATCACAACTGGTCCCCATGCCGCATATGTCTCTTCTTCTAGGGGGCAATGCTGCCCCCCTAAAAAATGCCTCCCTAGGCAAATGCCTTGTTTGCCTTGTGGTAAATACGCCCCTGAAGGAGGAATGTTTAAAAAAAATCTGTTGCTTTGCCTTGCATTGAGAAAGCACACATTTGCTTTAAACTAATGTTTCAATTGGTGTTTAATATTAATGTTCATCATTCTATAACATTACATATTACATACAAATATTATACACATATTACGTGTATTGCGTACATTGTTCCTATAAAGGAGATATTCATTTTCAAAAAAAAATTTTTTTTTTGCAGAAATCAATTCTGGCACATACCTATATATTTAAAGAGTGAATGAATAAATTGTAGTTGAGGTAGTCTTATAAATGCCCAGACAATGTATGTCCTACTTTGTACAAGACAGTTGTAAGCGATGTTTATTATAGATTCTTTCACATTTTGCACTTTATATTGTCAGTATTTTCTACACTCTCAATAAATGAGAAATTCTAAAATAAATCAACACGTACTTTATTATTGTAGTAAATACTATCTGTTTTCCCGACACCTAAATTATGTAGCAGAATAAATGATGACTTTGACTTTAAGGGATGTATTCAGTGGGTGATCATTGTGGAGTTTTTCAATGTACAAAATAAATCATTTACAAACTGCACAATAATGTTTTTTATAAGGTTTCTGTATTTTTTCTAGCTGAAGCCTCAGGGTTGAGCCTACAAGCATGTTTTGTCATGCGATGCTTATGTAAACAAATTATCCAAGTTTCTGCTGAATATTATATTCCCTATATAGTCATAATGTTACTTGAAGGGTCAGTCTATCCATATAACCAGTTTTGCACAGATGTTGGTTGACTCACTTACATCTCTATCTCACTTTTAGATTGCAAGCTCTCACCAGCAGGGCCCTCTCAACCTTCTTGTCTTCATTTATATTGCAACTGTACTGTCTCCCTTTATATTCTAAATTGGTGCACAAACTTTTGGTGCTATGTAAATCATTCATAATAATAATCCAGACTCCAGGCAGACTTTTTTAGCTGAGTTCCAGTCCTGGCCACTATCAGAAGACATCTCACCAGTTGACTGGTGTGTCAGGTTGCTTGAAATGAATGTATCACTTACACAGGTACATTCAGATTGAGATAATTAGGGTAAAGGTACCATAGATAGCAAACTACAGGATTTTATTGAAGTTGGATGCCTTCCTTACCATTTACAAAAATGCTTATGTCCCACATATGTAGGTACACTAAAATCAACTGCATGCAAATTAGCTTTATATTGCATATACAGTACCAGGGGCGGACTGACCATTTGGAAACTCGGGCACTGCCTGAGGGCCCGGGGTCAGTAGGGGGCCCCATGAGATGCCCCTGGTACCTTTTTCATAGGCTTTTTTGAGTTTGGGCAAGGACACAGGGGCCCCATGATCCCCTATTGCCCGGAGGCCCCATGAGTTGTCAGTCCGCCCCTGTACAGTACATCTAATTTATAAATCCCAGCAAGAAATGAGCTAATTGTGACAGTTTACAAGCGTACCCAGAATAAAGACAGAGATTAGCTTCCCAAACCCAGAGCTTTAATTGTATCTGAAGAAACAACTATAAGACCCCTTTCACACAGGCAATCTGAACAGTTCTGCCGGTCAGTTTTTCAGATGATCCATGTGTCCCTATGGTATGCGATTCAGTTTCAGTCTGTGTTTTAGTGGATTGGATTGAAAGGCAGTCAGGTGTAAATGGACAACAAACAAGAGATCCCTGTGCTCAAATTGGGTCAGTAGCCAGACCTGAACCTTGTAGCTCTCCCCATTGTGTCTTTTCCCCTATGCTAGCATTGTGTCCACAGTAGCATTTGCGTAGGCAGGGCAGAGTAGGACTAGCCATAGAGGGATTACTTTGACGCAGTTGGCCAGCTTAAGCATGTATTGCAATATGTGTGAACTAAATATCCCTATTTATTGCATAGTGTGCTTGAAAGGGTATATACCAGTGTGCAGAGGGTCCTTCAGAATTTCAGGTGTAAATGGACAGCCGGTACATTTACTAAATGCAAATGAAAAAACAAAAAGAGGGCGAACCGGCCTAGTGCATTATTGTTTAAAATATTTATTGAAAGAATAAAAAAGTAGCTATCATACTCACAATGGACATATAAATCATAGGCACATCACAATGAACAAAGGTGTTCAATCCATATAGCATCTGAGTCCACAACGATGGAACCCTGGATGACCAACTGACTGACGCGTTTCGAGGACTCCGCCTCTTCCTCAGAGCCAACACTTCAAGAGTCTACACTTCTCTTATATAGGCTAACTACTGCTGGTGGTGGGCTGTCTCCAACAAACCCAGGGGCAGAGACTGCCATCACATGACTTGTTAGTATATATTTCCATAAATAAAATATAATA